CATATGAATTGATCGACAAAGGAGTTCCAATTTTTCTAGATTCGATTTCCAAATTTGGTAATAATCCTGACTGTATTGGAAGAAAACACTCGTTCCAGATCTATTAATTTCGTTCGTATTATTAATAAAATGTCTAAAGCCGTTGCATATGCTGAGAGGCGTGGCGGAGAATGTCATGGTAAAACTGGCCAAATAAATGGTTTCGATGTATATCTTTGGTCTTGCGAAAAGGGACTCCATCAATGGTATGCACCTTATAAAATTCAGAAGCAGAAATTCGAATGGTGCCCAGTTTGTCCACATTTTAAAGGGGAGCGTTCTGCAAGATATATTTTTGAAGATCTATTGGATAAGAAATTTCCATCTTGTAAACCGTCATTTTTGAATGGGATGCAATTAGATGGATATAATGAAGAATTAAAATTGGCATGTGAATATGACGGGGTCCAACATTACCATCGCAATAGTTTATACCACAAAAATCAAAATGATCTAGATAATCAAAGAAAGCGCGATCAAAAAAAGCGGGATATATGTGCTCGAGAAGGTATAGATCTTATTTGTATCCCGTTCGATTGTGATTTACTTCCCTATATAAAAAGCAAATTACAAGAGAGAGGTTATTTATCGTATAAAGAATAAATATTACTTATCTTGGCTAGAATGAAAGATAAAGGCATGCCCATATATGTATATAATATCAATGAGACATCTAAAAAATCATCAGAACGAATGAAGGGTAATAAGTATTCACCAGACTGCCCATTTAGGATGCTTATAAATGGAAGCTCAAATAGCGGAAAAACTAACATGGAAATAAATCTCATGCTTGGTGACAAACTACAATGCATGTTCAATGGAAAAAAAGGTGATCGGTATATTAGAAATGATGATCTCAGATTAGTAGCCAAACATTTTGAACCAAAATGGCAACTTGTACAAAATAGCTATAAGATCTTTGCAAATGCTCCAAAACCATATCGAGAAGATGTTACATTTAAATGGATATTACCAGATAAGATCCCAGATATAACTAAATTCTCTCCAGAACGAAGTACAGTTATTGTTTTTGAGGATCTATGTGCCGAACCCAAAAAAGTGCAAGAACGAATTTTTCCTTATTTCATTAGTGGCCGGCATCAAAATGTCTCACCTATATATGTGAGCCAGAAATATACACAAACACCTAAAATTATTCATGAAAATATCTCACATTTATGCCTATTCCGGGGCAGTGGAAGTCGAGAAGACATATGCAGAATCGTGCGCCAATATACAGATGATCCAAAAAAAGCATCCAAGATTATTGATAAGCATTTGCGGGATCGAAAATTCGTGGTTTTTGATTTTACTAAGGCTGTAGACAATCCTCTAGCAGTTAGATTGGGGTGGGACACTCCCCTTGATCTTTCTAATGAGTAGAGTGAGATTTCAGATATTTAAGGAATTTTTCTCCCTCTTGCAATTCTATCTTCTTTTCTTCAACCTCACATCGTAACTTCTTATTTTCATTAACCCGCTTTTCATGCTCT